TAAGAGAAACCTACAGAATGTGCAGAGCGGGGGGTTGCAAAGACCAAGATTAAGAACTGCTGACCTAATGCTTACAACAGGATCAGATACCAGCCTTAAATTGTGTCCTGTATGATCTCAGAGAAATTCCAGAAGAACAGAACAGAAGACCAAATGAAATGCTGGGTCATAGAATTATATTATATCTGAGCAGGACTGACCATAAAACACTCTAGAATATAAGATGAGAGAGAGAGAGAGAGAGAGAGATTTACAGACAGACAGACGTGTCACAGCATGCTCTCTATTGGAGATCATTAGTATTATAGCAGATCAATATCTGAGAGAAGATCACATGAACATCTGCTTTAGCAGAGTCTTTCAGTGAACACAAAAAATGTAATGGCTGTTTGAAAACGTGAAAACTGTTTGACTTCTTTCCTTCTCAGTGAAAAGCAGGTGTGTGTCAGAAACTGTGTTTGTCAGTCTGGGCAGGACTTAGTGGCCCGGGGTTTCATATATATATATGAAACAAAAATTCAACAGTCAACAGATTTTACTATAATAGACCTACCAACCTCTGTGTAAAAATAACAATGCTTAAGTCATTTTTACCCTGCTGTAATTTGGCTCTGAATCTTAGGTGAAAATTGTCATTCTGACTTCTTTTTACAAAATAGTGGTAAAAACTCATCCATGACATTTAATATTTTGGCTTTCATCTCACTATACATGTTTATCTTTCTTCAGAAAAAAAAAAATATATTGACAAAATAAAAAAAATTGAGCCGGGGAAATTTCTGAAATTTAGTTGATTTGACAGGGAAAGACCCTATAAGGATTTTATTTCCATTTATTCTTTCTGTTCAACAGCCAAACCAAAGAGATCAAATTGACCAACATTATTTGGAACCAAATTCTGAAGATTTAGTTAATTTGATACTTCAAAACATCACTTGCATGAAACAGTATTTAAGACACTTTAAATAAAATAAACATCCGTAACAGTGTTTTATATTTGTTGTAATACACACTAAAGATTGAAACTGATGCAGTTATCATCTTTGTCCACTAGATGGAACTGTATTTTAATGCATACTCAATGGCCTTTAGTTTGACAGTTTTAGCTCCAGTCCAGTGTGCCATGGAAAGTCAAACTAACTTTACTTACCATTTTCTACTCTTAACTACAGATATAGTTTTCACGTGAAGAGCCAGAACAGAAACATCTTGCTAGTTTCACTTCTCATTTTGCACTTTCACTTGTTTGATTCACCCTAAATAACACAGACATCAGGCACACCTGGGCTGCGTTCAGCCCCGACAAAAACGTGCAAACGTGGAAACGGTGGTGCGTTGAACACTGTTCTGATGACGCAAGAGTTGCAGCTATGGCAGCTGAGAAGGCCATTCTTTGTGTTCTTTTTGAAGTATTTTCGGAGCCTGATGAAATCGGTATAAATACGTGTTTAATACTGCAAAATACGCTCGATGTTACAGTCACTGCCCTTGCCCTCCAGAATAAAAGAGAACATCCCAATCAAATGAAGGGATTTGTGGAAACTGTGATTCCTAATTATTGTGATCCAACATTTCCCTCGCATTTCAGGATGAAAAGACAAAATTTCAGGTGAAGGATAATCCACTTCTTACCTCCAAGATGACCTTATTATTTTTATTGTGAGTATTAGGCTTATCATTATTGCTGATCACTGTTGTTGTGCTATATTGTAATATTTACCATTATATAATCAGAGCAGTATAGAAAAGTTTATGAAAGTGACACTCCATAATACAGTAGAAAAATATATAAATATGTATAGTATTTTTATGTTACATTAATCAGTATTTAGCACACCTTCCTAAGGAAAGGATATGGACCAGAAGACATTGCAATTACTAAATGATATTTAGACAGACTTAAAAAAGTTCCAGATCTATACTTGTGCCCTTATTATTTCAGTTATTTTGCCTTTAATGTAAATAAACATGTGCAAACAATATTCTTGCTCTTGTGAATTTATTTGGATGTTAATTACATTGTGCCAGCTGTCTAGTGTCAGACCTCTTGTCTGCAAAGCGTCCTGGAAGTGCCATAAATGAGCAGCTGTTGTGGCCATTAAAGGGGTCATATGATGCAATTTCAATTTTTCCTTTGTCTTTGGAGTGTTACAAGCTCTTGGTGCATAAAGAAGATCTGTAAAGTTGCAAA